TACGTCCAAAATATTGAAATATCAGAACTATCAGAAATACCTCAATTTTAAATAATAAAAGTAAAATTATTTTGTTGAACAATGATATAATGGTATAATATATAATGGCATAAATCACTATTAATATATTTTAAAATATTATTTTCACACAATTAAATTATAATCACATTAAACAATAAATTGCTTTAATAAATTATTGAATATAAAACCGATTTATATTAATGATATTTATTTATTTTTTAAATTTTGTTGTTAATAAATTGTTGACTGACTTTGAACAACGATCTGCCAACAAATTATAGAACAAAACAAATCTATTTGCTTTAACCCTTCTGTGGCATGCCAGTCACTTCAACACACGCGACATATGAATAAACTTCATTTTAATAATAAAAAACTAATTCGAAATAATAATTTAGCTCCAACAATCACTGAAGAATTGAATCTTTAAAATAACAAAAGCGGACTAACACTGAACAGCTGATTCCTTGATTTACCGAATCTGTATAGGAATCGTGTTTAACTGTCAAAACAATTTAAAAGTTGTCAATTATAATTTTTATTAAATTTTGCAAATATTTAATCTGATGACATTTATTACAAAAAAATAATGTTAAATATGTCATTTCCAATGTAAATAATATCACATTGTATATTATATTGCAGTTTTCAATGGATGAATTATTAATTAAATATTTTGTAGATTTTAACAATATTGACCAGATACTAACCAGTTGCGTTGACCAACTCAATACATTTCTTATATTGGCAATGGTCTCTGTCATGTGTGCAATGAGTGCTGCTCAGCTTCTTGCTTTGCGTATATTACCAATTTTGTTATTGAGTGATATAGTGATTACCTTGGAAAATAGTGGGTTCTTTCTTTTGGTTTCGAAAGAATAACTTTGGCAAATAGTCACTGCATGAGTGTTGTTATTGTTACAATTCATATTGAGAATTTAAACTTTAAAACTTTTAATTTTTAACGTACCTCAAAAATTGTACCAAAAGATTCATCTACATGGAGTTTGTTTAATTGCATTTTAAAATTGATGTGCGCTATGAGCTGAAAGTAGTCGCAATACCAAAACATTTACCAGATAATACTACAAATCACATATACCTATGTACGAGTATCTATAGCTTGACTGAATACTAACAATAATTTTTTTGTAGCATTTAAATTCACTTAATAAAAAGTATAACATTGGTCTTTAACTCTTAATAGGTCAAAAGTTTCATTACTATTATCTTAAAGGAAAACAAAATAGATTTTTTTCTATGTATATTTTAGTTCTTTATTATATCTTATTATTAAATAAGAACTCTTAATTAATTGAAGTAGTAATTTAACAGTGTCATGTAATTATATCAGTTTACAACTGAAGACGGTGATTGGAAGCAAAACCAGGCATACTAGGATGGTAGGGTCACCGACCTCTTATTAATTAAAGTAATAATCTAAATACATTTTATACACATTTATTTTAATAGTAATCAATACTTATGTATATACTCCCATTTGCTAGTTTTATATAGTCAATAAGTGGCCACTTCTAAATATACAAGATATTTCAGAATAATATAATAACACATTTGTAAGTAATATCAAGATAAAAGTTTTAGGAAAAATGTGTTTAATGCTAGTGTTCGACATCGACACTGCGACATCAATTCGCTGTACCCTCTTTATGCATACTGTCTATACCCTCTGTCTAAAAATAAAAAAATAAATATATATATATGATCAATTTATTTAAATAATAAAATTATACTTACATTCATACGATGATACAATGCCTAAATTGAATGTACATCAGTGATTCATATGTCCATAACGTATCCACTTTGTCATATTTCAAGTTAGTTATATTCTTAATTTAATTAAAATCATTATTACAAATAATCAATAAATAACTTTTAGTTATTGTATTTCAAATCATAATTTGAAATCATTCATTGATTATTGTTGCAGTATTTGCAACAGCCAAATTTATTTAGTTTATCGTTGGCTTAATGCAAACAACCAACGATATATTAGTTATGTTATGAATCGGCTTTTACAATAAATTACCGTAGTTTTTAATCACAATGGGGTCATAGATACTATATAAATCATTTAAGTAGGAGTAGCACTGGCTTCTATACCATTTTCCATGTGCTATCGATCAATAAAACCCATTAATTCGCAATATGTTTGGTTTACATAAATTCTTAGTTTCTATTTATTATTAAATCAAACTCTACACTATATGCACTTAAAAACAATAAGGCGACATATAAATGATTAGTGATTTAAATGGGAATTTAAAATCAATTTTCAAATATATACATATGTATAAATAATGGATAACACATTATGTATTATAATATAATATACAAAATTAATGTTAACATACATATAATATTCATAATTATTTACTTTCAATAACTATCAAATTGATTTAATTTAATTTTATATGTGATAATTATTATATTCAAATATAAAAGATTTAATTAAACTTAATTATATAAAAATGAGTACATATTATAAAATTTTTGTTATTATATACATTCAGTCTCAATACTAATTTATAATAGTCAGTAATATTTCGTAAAAAATTTAATTTAAAATAAAATTAAAATTATCTTTAAACATCAATTTTATTAAACTCAAATACTCTGGAACAAAATAGAAATTTTTAACTGATGCAGCGCAATCAGTGACATGACAAATGATTTGAGGGGGATGCAATGGATGCAATCAGCGACGAATGACAAATGATTTGTGAGAATACTGTGGTATTTCCTTGGCTTCGGAGAAGTTAGCCTTGTCAATACGTGACTTAGGGCTACCAGTTTCACGCAACCAAGTTTTCCTGTTAAAATTAAATTATAAAGCACATATTCTCTTATATTTAATTTTAATATATAATTTATTTTACGCACATTTGATTGATTTTTTCCAACGGTCCTTCAATTTCACCCTTGACTGTACCAGTAGTAGTGTTCATGCACCAACCATGTAGACCAAGTTTTTTAGCCTGAGCCTCTGTGTGCTGTAATTAATGATACATAATAAAAGTTAATATATATAAAATATCAATGGATAGTTTGCATATTTACAAAATTTTATTTTATATTAATAAAAGATTTAAGGATTAAAAAATTATTACTAACAAAATCAAGATATTAGTCCAATATCAGCTAAGTTTGTACTAAACGTTAAAGTGTAGTAAACCATGAGTTTGTGCCTCTACATTGAACAATATAAATCGGCGATCTCAGTTACCTACCCATACATCTAGTTTAGTACCAGAAAGGAAAGAGATTTCTCTATGAGCAAATTCGAACTGTTTTGAATTATTGCAGTGCACATAGCGGTAAACTATTTTCAAAAAGTTTTAAATCAAGCAACAATTGCATAATAGAAACAAAACCAATTATATTCCAAAAAAAAATATTACTAGGAGTGTACGGTCTTAACATGTCCAAAAAAACAGACTATTTACTGATAAGAGGACGGGCCACTGTTCACTTAACAATACGTCTCCACTGACTTCATTAGACTAGTTAACTTGAGATAGAGATTTAATTACTTGAAACTTAAGATTCAAGTAATTCAAGCAATCGAAAGTAAGTTAACTAATCTAACGAAGCCGGTAGAAACATACTATAAGAAACACTATTTAGTTAAATAATAAATTTTGTAAAACTGAGTATATAAACAATTGTAAAGATAATTGACGTCATAATGTAAAGTTCTACTGAAAGATAACATAGTTCTAGCAAACGAACGACCCAATGTTATGGTATACAATTTTATAACATATATATTTATATATATGTATAATATCTATATTTTATATATACAAAAAAAAGTATACAAACTGAATACATTTTTTTTCAAATATTAAATTAATGTAAAAGAAATCGCAAAAGGAATTTGATTATATTGAGGAAATTTGATTATAAAAGAAATTCCCTTAGGGCTATGTTGTGTAGACAGTCATATAATAAAATATCTTGGCGTTGTTACGCTTCTTCTGTTTATGATCATTAAAGCGTTTTACACAAAGTCAAACTGCAATTATCACTTTTTGGTTAAAACCGTAAAATATATGCACTTATAGGTGGTAAGCGTAACTAACCTGTCTTTTACACACAAGAAATTTTTTTATATTTATGTAATAAAGCGGTATAATTTAGTATTCGAATATAAAAAATTTTTCTTAAATGTAATATAACATATTTTTACTAATATATTGTATATTTGAATTTTTTATTAATTTTATTGAAAGGCATGAATCGACTCACCAAAAGTATTTTTGACGTTTAATTGAAATTTGCAATGAATAACATTTGTACATATTTGCACAATATAACTTTTTACTAATTAACATTTTTAACTTACCTTCCTGAAGAAAACACCTACAAATAAAAAATAGTTTTAGCAAAATTATTTCTTGCAAAATATGTATGCTTCACCTTACCTTGTACCTTACCAAAGACTTCAAAATCAGTGGCATAAAGTTTGGCCATAGCGGCACCAACTCTGCGATCCATTTCTAAATTTTTATCAATTTCGTCAACGACTGCACAATTCGAGTCAATAATATTGTGCAGGAGAAATATATTTATAAAAATTAATTTTAACAGACAATGTTTTGAATTCATATCGAAATTAAAATTTGTTTATGTTTACTATGACAGCAGCCGACAAATGAAAGTAAACTTCACTTACACATTCAAGCAATATTGGCAGGTTGTTGGCTGTCAGGTATGTTTGCTTGAATTATGCATGAACTTATATAGACAAGAGAAAACTATTTCAATTAAAGTATTTTCGCAATTGATTTGCTAATTGTGAATAATAAGTCGCGTTTGTCAAATAAAAGTTTTCAAGTTTTGAGTCAAAATAAAGATATTTGACTTTAATCAAGAAAATCTCTTGGAAAACATTCTAGAGTGTCATCCACGAAAACAACTGTTGATAAATTTAAATTTCATTACAAAACAAATTTCAAATAAAACCAGCAACAATATATAAATATTATTAAACTTTTTGGTGTTGCAGTGCAAGACTGTTTATTTAGGAATCAGTTTAAACACCAAAAATGACGTCAGCCTAGAGATTCAACGAAGAATTACTCTTGCCAACAAATGTTACTTCGGGCTAAGTAAGCAATTGAGAAATAAAGCCCTCTATCGACAAACAAAAATCGCGCTAAACAAATCCCTTATCATGCCTGTCCTGCTGTATGGTGCAGAAGCTTGGACAATTACCAACAGTGATGAGAAGGCGTTAGGAGCATTAAAGAGAAAATTCTTCGGAAGATCTATGATCTCTTACGCGTTGCCGACGAGTGTCGAATTAGATGAAACGGTGAACTGTATGAGCTATACCGCGACATTGATATAGTTCAGCGCATAAAAACTTCTACATAATGAATGTGAAAAAAATGACATCTGCATCTTTACCGATGGCTCCTTGATGGATGGCAAAGCTGGTGCTGGGGTTTCCTCGAAAGAGCTAAATCTAATGTGCACTCTACATCTAGGAATATATATTTCCGTCTATCAGGCGAAACTTATGACCGTCTTACATGTTTTTGATCACCTATTGGATTGTCAGGTGTATCAGAAAAAGATTCTGATAGCGCTGAACAATCAAGCAGTTATCAAAAGCATGCAAAAGACATACATAGCTAACAGCTTAGTTCAAGAATGTGTAAATAAGCTCATGGAAATGAGGTAACGGTCATGTGGATTAAGGTACACATCGGTATTGAGCAAAACGAGTAGGCTGTTGAACTTACAAAGCAAGGATAAGCCATAACTTCTGCGGCCCAGAACCCAGAATACCATTGGGTTACAACATGATGACAGCCTTCATCTAAATAGATGGAGAGAGTTGAGCACTTGTAGACAGACCAAACTCATGTTGCCGAAACCGTGGATCAGGGAAGCGATAAAAGTGCTTAGCTATCCACGGAGCACCCTAAGCTGGCTGACCTCATTAATTACTGGATATGGCAACTTCAAATATCACCTCAAAAAGATAACTCTTGCTGAGGATGACACTTGCACCCTATGTTTAGAAGAAAAGGAGACAGCAGTGCATATATTGTGCCAATGTCCAGCACTTAACAACACCATTTGGTGCCAAGCAACCTCAAACTAAATGAGTTAACAAGAGATGTAGTTATGCGAACAGAAGCCACTCCAGCTTTAACTCAATAACGACATTCAAGAATAGAAGGACGAAAAAGGACCCAAGTAGTTTCGTGGTCCACTTTGGATAATCCTTCACTTCAGTGGGGCCACTTGTTGGACGGTGCGCTGTCCCAATGTCCCACCATAAGTAGTAAGTAAGCGCATAAAAACTCAGCGACTTAGCTGGTTGGTCATATCGTGTGAATGGTTTTCCATTCTGCTCCGGCTAGAAAGGTGTTTGATTCGGTACCCGCAGGTGGAAAACGAGGTAGAGGACGTCAGCATCTTCGGTGGAAGGACCAAGGGGCACTCGGTACTACCAACTGGCGACAGCAAGCAACTAATTGGGCTGACTGGCGGAGGCTACTTGACGGGACCAAGGACGACTCACATCTGTAATGGCCACTTAAGTAAATAAGTAGGTGTTATTATAGTATGTTTAAACTTCAGCTTATCTTAAGTGAGTCAGCAATTTTTTTGTCTAAGAAAATTGTAAGGATTTATATTATGTTTTTTTTTTAAATTGTTTTTTAATATGATTCGTACTCATATTTGCTCATTGCTGAGAGTTAACTTTCTAAAAATACACATAAGCCTAGGTACTAGGGATGTTCGCTTTTACTTCATTATTTTTTTTAGGTAATAAATGTGTATTAAAGTTGTAAAACTGCGTGTTTGTTCCTCTAATATCCCTGGTATTATAAGATGTATAATATTTATTATACGTAAGAAGTCGTATAATATGTTTATATATGTAGCATTTGAGTCATTAAATTAGATTATTATTATCATAAAGAGTACATGCCACTCTCTTTTGTAATACCGTTGAGTAAACGATAATTAATTATGTAATTATCCGTTAATTGTGAAGTGTAATTATATCATTCTTTTTAATCAACTAAATTTTTTACCCAGCTCCCTAATTTACGCCCCCGCTTTCTTGCTTAAATGAACCTAGCTCGCTAGGTATTAAGCCTATATGTTCACATCTCTCTCCCATAAATACTGGATTGAAGTTTCCTCAATGCTGTGGAAATCTTCTCTATACATTCCTAAAAGGTGATTTTAGGGGGTTCCAATGCTAAATCGGCATTAATGCTGTAGTTCAAAGCTGATCTTAAGATGTTAGGATAACCAAAATCAGTTGATTGTATTCCATTCATAATGCATGGTTGTGTATGTTTTGATCTTTAGGATTCAGTTGAAATTCGATTCTGTTAAGTTCTATATAGAATGGTAATATAAAATTTTTGATATGACTGCAGTTTAAACTGCTGATTAAGATACAAATTCTTATAAGAAAACATTTATTTGTTAAAGTTTTATTAAATTTAATAACAAATTAGCATAAACAATATACATTAATATCAAAAATCACAAATGTGGTTTGTTATTTCAATCCAAACAAAGAAGGTACTCGCGGTATGGTGGAATGGTTGGTAAGGTTGATGGGGAAACATGCGGCAAATAAAAGAAAGTAACTGGAAGTAAAAGAGTATTAAAACTAGGACAAACGACATCCTCAGGGACATCAAGATTGATTCCATCAAAAAATACATAAGGGATAGAAATTTGACAGACTTACCAACACCGCTTTATCAAATCTCAGAATGGTTACAGGCTCCTCGGGAAAGTATGCAAATATGAGATCAATTATTGCTTAGTCTGATGAAGTGATAAATAACAATCTAGTCAAGGCGCAAAGAGGGGTTTTAAAGAAACCTCGCAGTTAATAGAGTAAAAGTGCTCAGGTGCACTGACTCAACTTGCCTCAACATAATAAAACTAGCCCAGTACAGACTGAAAGAAAAAGTCTGCCAACAGTCATTATCTTAAGTTATCATCATAGTATATGTTTTACTATTAGCGGTTGACTTTTCTTTTAATAACCTTATAAGCTTGATAAAAGCCGTGTCTCATATATAATCACGATATATAGCCAAATCATACGAAAGTACTTGCATGGCCATAAGATAAGATATATCGACATAATTTTTCTATAAGATTTAGTTCAACGAAATTATTAAAATATTTTGCAAAATTTTATCCAAACGAGTTTAATTTCTTCTGCATGCTCCATTTATCAAACTCAATTAAAAAACAATTTAATTAATTAATTAATTTATTAATTTCCTAAGTATTGGAATATTAAAAACCATCCAATATTCGGTTTCAAAATCATTCAATAAAAAGAATGACTAAAATTATAGCATCGTCCACAATTTCAAATAAAAATAAATCAAATAAAATCAAATATATAATTAAAAAAAAATATTTATTATTTTAAAAAATTAATTTTATTAATTTTTATTTTGCTATGCATTTAGGTGAGGTATAATCTTCACTATTCGATTATTGTATGTCATATAATATATCATGTGTATATATATTTTGTAAAAATAGTCATTAGTTAATACTTAATATTAAGGCATCAAAATGAATTTAATTATTATATATATACGTCTACAAATTCAAAGAGAGCTTTAAAATACTAGATATATTTTTATAGAAAGAGTTCATTTCTATTGCAAAACTTGTTTACCATAACAAAGTAAGTTAAAAGTTAAAGAGCTATAAATACTAGTAATGTTCTTAGTTTGTATCCATTTAGTTGACAAACATATACTGGATTTATGTTTTGAGGTTAATGTGAATTACCATTACATTTGATATTCTTACTTATCAAATTTTTAGCAGCTTCGATAGTATTACGCATTAGCATAGCAACAGTCATGGGTCCTACACCACCAGGCACTGGCGTTATGTGTCCTGCAACTTGACGAACTTCTGTAGTTACGAAAAAAATTTTAAATTTAGTAAACAAATATTACATATATAATATAATCGGTATATACCATCAAAATCCACATCACCGACAAGTTTCGTTTTGCCTGTTTTTTCATCCGTAATACGTGTTATACCCACATCAATTACACAAGCACCTGGTTTTATCATATCCTTTTTTATTAATCCAGGCACACCAGTAGCTGTTACGATAATATCAGCATTACGACAGTGCTTGGCTAATTCCTTTGGTGGTGTGAAGCGATGACAAATTGTGACGTTGGCATCCATTGGTTTTGATTCATGTCGACCATCCCCATGTAACAAGATCGCTAACGGTAAGCCAACATTTTTTGAACGTCCAACAACTACAGCATTCTTACCAAAGGTTTCGATACATAAACGTTCCAATAAGACTTTAACACCATACGGTGTAGCTGGCATCAATGTCTTCATGTCAAGACACATACGTCCCACGTTGCGCTCATTAAAGCCGTCTACATCTTTCTCGTAGTGCACAGCATTACAAATTTTACGTTCGTTCATATGCTCTGGCACTGGTAATTGCACTAAAATACCATCAATTGTAGAATCATTATTTAATTGCTCTATTATATTAAGAAGTTCTTCTTCTGTGGTATGTTTAGGCAAACGTTTTGTTTCACTTGATATGCCAATTTCTTTAGCAGCGTCCATTTTCATGCGTATGTATGTCTGACTAGCAGGATCCTCACCAACTAGTATAGCTGTAAGATGTGGCGTTCGATTACCAGCAGCGGTAAACTCTTTGACTTCGTCCCGCAGCTCACCACGAATTTGTGCAGCAATCGCTTTTCCATCGATGATTTGAGCCATATTACTAAAAATATATTATATAGAATATATAAGTATGGTTCTTTAAAACGATCTAAACTATTCTAAACCTATGATTCATTAATGTAACTGATCTACATATATTTTAACTATACAATATAGCAAAGAATATGTAGATAAGATAAAAAGACATTACGTAAATATAGTATCATAAAAAAATCTTTGTTTAGTAAACTATTTGTAATCTTACGATAGGATCTCTGTCAGCATTTTTTAAATTGTTCACATAGTAAATAATGCTCAACTTAAGAATTCTGACCTACGGTCTTTCTATTTAAAAATACTAAAAACTGTTAATAATTTTCACCATTATAACAAATCACAAACACCAATAATCATTATAGAGAGAAGAACTTACTTAAGAAAATTAAATATTTTTCTGAGTTCTCAAATTAAACCCTACCATATAACTGTGTAGGATTAATTTTGAAAAAAAAAATAATATAAATCAAATAATTAACTGACTCGGGAATGGACTTTTTAATTCGAACTACAAAAATTATCATAGAGGACGAACTAGTGTTACGGTGTATATACATTAGATATTTCAGATATCTGATATTTCATATCAGATCAGACATTACAGAATGAAAAACTGCTCATCTTATTTCCTCTTGCCATGCGATTGCCAGGAAACGAACCCAATGCCTTTATTCAATTTTTTTTAATTAAACAAGGTCTGGTATTTAAAACCAAAAGCTATTATTGGATTCGACAACAAACTCTAACAAAAATAATGGTGCATATATATCAGGACATGTTATCCCAATTATTGTGCAATCTCTATACATACTTCTACTACTAACTCGTAGTAGTGGTTTGTTTTTTTAGTTTCCGTTCAGTAGAGTGAAATAGTTTTTATAATATTTCTTATTGTCAAGTATTCTAGTTTTTTTATATTTTTCGGTCAACTGAACTCATATCTAGAAGAGGTCTGAATCGAATAAAACAATATCATAAATTGATGGATATATCCAAATAAAAAATTCTCATATATACTCATATATTTTTATTCCTAAAAGAACAGCAAACTTTTCAAAAGAACGCAAGCAATAAGAAATATTGAAGAATATCTATAGCGGGCTTTTGTGGTTTGTATTTTTTAAAATATTAAAAAGGTAATCCATTTTGTTCATTCTAGCGGTATGTTTGGCGTTGTTATCTTGCTGGAAAATCCAGCAGTGATCCAGTCTGAATCCTTCGACACTAGATTGTAAATTTCCTTTTAAAATATAAAGGTAATCCATTTTGTTCATTCTATTGTCAATAAACACCAATTTACCTACATCATTTGCCGTCATACACCCCCACACCATCACTGAACCCGCACCGTGCTTTACTGTAGAAACTATATTTTTTTTTAATACTTCTGATTTTTTCTCTTCATATTTTGGACAGAATATGTCCAAAATATATCTCTCCATATTTTGGAGAAAATACTTACTGCCTTGTAGTGGCAGTAATTCTCATATTTTCGAATTTGCTCTCATCGCTAAACAGAACATTTTTCCAAAATGATAAATCATTATTTC